GGCGGGGCCCCCCAGCCAGCCTGTCCCAGATCTCAAGACTTCTAGGGAAATGAACTCGGGGTTTTCCTCTCAAAGGTTAGGGGCTCTTGTAGGAGCAATGGTGAGCAGCCAGCATGTGCTGAGCACTGACTATGTGCCAGGCACCCTTCTAAGCACTGACGATGCGTTAACTCATGTGATCCTCCCAACAACCCCGAGAGATTATCAACCCCACCCATCTCCGGTGAGGAGCAAGTGGCTCTGAACAAGGCTGCCAGAGGGCCAGGGCCAGGATTCCAGAGCCCACGGGCTCAGCCACCGCACTAGGCTGCCCCTGGGGGTGTGGAGAGAGCGCCCCACCATTAGAGGAGAAATGTGCCCAGTGCTCGAGGCAGAGGCTACGGCCACACACACAGGGTCTGCTCTGGGGAGAAGCAGGGCTCCTGGGGCGGCAATCCCGCCCCCACCCAGAGGTGTCACTCACCTGTGATGGGCACATCGGGCCGGGGCTGCTCCTTTCTCCAGGATGGCACGAACACCGTGATGTCTGTGTGGCCCCGCTCCAGAAACCAGTTCACGGCCAGCAGGATGCCCCGGCAGGAGAAGACCTCCTTGTTCCCATGGCTGTCGGGAAGAGGAGGGGCATCAGGAGGGAGGGAGTCCCACTCTAGCCCCTGCCCTGGCTCTCAGCCCACCCCTTTCAGGCCGGGGCCCACGCCTGCATTCCCTGCTGGTTTCCACAGCGCCCAGGATGACCAGACCTGGGACTTTCCCTGAGGTCCCATCTCCCAACAGTGAGGAAACGCCCAGGAATCTGGCAACACTCGCTCCCCATGTGGGGGAGGGTCAGGCTGCTTGCAACACACCTGGGGGTGGGGGAAAGGCGCTGGAGACTTCTGGTTCCTGCCCCACCCGGGGTGCTGGGACCAGGGGACACAGATGTACACAGGCAGACTGAGTCACCACCCTCCCTCATCCAGGGGCGGGCGTGGGGGAGGCACCCGCCCCGTAACAGAAGAGAAACCAGATTGTTCTGGATTAAAGTTCAGTCCTGCACTAACCTCAGGGGCTGGGGCTGGGGCTGAGGAGGATGAAGGGGAAGGAGCCACACCCCCACCTCCCGGGAGGGAAGGCAGCCACTGATGCGGGAGGCTGCCGAGGAGCCTTTCAGTTTGAAAGTGAAAGGACACAGCTTTTCCTCTCAAGACCGCCAATTCCCCAAAATGCCTAAATTGCCCTGTCTTCTCTTCCCCCCTCTCAGAAGGGCATGACCTGAGGTAGGAAGACAGTCTGGACCCGGGGACTCCGAGGAGTTGGGACACGGGACATGCCCCTGCCATGGTCTCATGACCACACCGCACCCCATCCTGATGCGGCTGGATCCTGAGTTGCTGCGGGGTTGCTCTGGCTCAGTTTCCCTATCTGAGAAATGGGCCTGGCTGTCTGCAGCCTCCTTGAGAAGGGCCCATATCAGTGGGACAACTTTCCTGTTTGCTTGAGGCCAAAGACAGTCCAGCAAAGTGGAGGGTCTCGCTGGATTCTTGGGTGTGTGTGGGGGGGGCGGGGGAGCTCCCAGGTAATACTGGGTGTGGTGGAAGAGCTCCGGACCAGGCTGGCGGGCTGGAGGCCAGCTGGAGATCTCTCCCCCACACTGCTGGCCTCTCACTAATCCCTCAGTGAACAACTCAGACTCTCATATTTGGCAAATCAAACAGAATAAACGTTACACAAGAGACTCAAGTCCATGGCCGACCACATCCTGTGGGTGGCTTCTGGTGGTGGTGGGGTGATAGCTGAGCCCCAAGAGAAGGTGGGAGGCAGGGCAGCTGGGGGCACAGAAGCTACTGGCGGTGAGGCCGGGACTCCTGGGTCTGAAGGTCTCTGTAAACTGCAGGGGAGGCAAAGTCCGGCCTGAAGGCAGTGCTCATCCTGCCAGGTGGGGCTTCCCCGCCAGGTGCATCCGCCAACTGCTTAGGATACCAGTTAACATCCACTAGCTCGGCACCAGGCCCTGATCTATGAGCAAGCCCCTGCGGAGGGTTCTCCCGTTAAAGGCTCCTTTCCCTGTAGTCAGGTGAAAAACGGTGGCCCACAGAGGACCAGTGGTTGCCAGCACCACCCAGCAGCAATTGTGGAGCAGGGATGCAACCCCAGAACCTGTGCTCAGAAGCACCATGTCGATTTTGAGGGGCCAACCTGGCCGTAGGGATGGAGGGGGATCAGCGGGTACCCAGCTCCGACGGGAGGCCAGGCGCATCCCACACCTCCTTGCTCCCTCCTTTCCCAAGCTAGCTGCAGCGAAGGAAAGCCAGGCTCTGAGAGTCCTCGAAGATGCCCTGGCTGGTGGTAAGAGAGAGAACCTGAACCCAGGCCAGGGCCACTGGATTGCGTTCCTGTCCCCAACAGCAAGATCTGAAGTTAATTAGAAGAAAAAGCTCCCAGCCCTCGCCGGTTTGGCTCAGTGCATAGTGTCAGCCTGTGGACTGAAGGGTCCTGGGTTTGATTCCGGTCAAGGGCACATGCCCGGCTTGTGGGCTCAATCCCTAGTGGGGGATGTTCAGGAGGCAGCCAATCAATGATTCTCTCTCTTCATTGATATTTCTCTCTCTCTCTCTCCCTCTCCCTTCCTCTCTGAGATCAATAAAAATATATTAAAAAAAGAAAAGGTAAAAGCTTCCAAACTTGAGTTTGTACCGTGTTAGGAGGCAGGGGCAGGCCGGGGACAGGAAAAATGACGCATCTGGCAAACTTCTCCCCCATCAGGTCCCATGTGAGGGGCCAGCACCTCCGAGAAGCCTTCCCTGGCCTTCCAGGACGGGTAATGCCCACTGCAGTGCAGGACGAAAGCTGGCTGTCGGGAGGCACGCCCGGACTGGGAGGGCAGTACCAGGTGCTCCGCTCCCCGCATCACCTCACTCCCTTCCCTGGGCCTTCTGCTCTGTCTTCCCGGGACTGCAGGGATGCGATCATCCCTGGCTTGGCTTCCTCTCGCAGGTATGCAGTCTGCACGTGCACCCACTTAACTCCTCCTATACACACGTGTGTACATGCAATGCCCCATCCTAGGCCAGTATCTTCAAGCCCTGGGACTTCATGGAATGCCAGGGCTTCCAGGTCAGCGCACTGCCTTTGTGCATCAAAAGCCTTGGCTGGGGCAAGTCTGATCTCAGCCTGCCCCTCCCTCCTAACACTTGGTACAAACTCAAGTTTGGGAGCCGTTTCTCCTCATGAACTTCAGATCTTGCTGGTGGGGATAGGAAGGCAACCCAGGGGCCCCAGGCCTGGGCTCAGCTTCTGTCTCTTAACTCTAGCCCTAGTCTTCAGAATGTCCCCGGGGCAGGGAGTCAGAGCCTTGCTCTTGGCAGAAGTGGAACATCACAGACAGCCCTCCCAGGCCGGGAGTGCCTCGACAGCTACCTTCAGGCCCTCTCATTGCCATGGAGGAAGCTGTCAGCACAGGAAAACCAGATATCCTCCCACCCCCACCGCAGTCCTGTTTGCCCAGAAGGTCAAGGCCCCTCAGCCTGGCTAACTAGACCCTGGTAAGAGACTCAGTGGCTCCCACCCTAGGACAGAGGGCTGGGTCAAAGCCAGGCTACCCAGGTGAAAAGATCTGCCAGGGCTGGGCCCGGCTAGAGAAAAATTCCCTTAGAAGGAAACAGAGGTGAATTTCCCCACGATTTGCATACGGTGTGGGCTGGCCCATCTGCCCTTGTGGGGGAGGGGGCAGCAGGGCAGGAACCCAGAAACAGCTGAGACAGGAAGTCTGAGGCTGGAATTCCCCTCCGCCAGAGCCTCAGCTCAGAAACCCCCCGTGGCTCTGCCCCTCCAGCCAGCTCCTCTAGCCACCCCCTCCATGGTCTGCCCCTCCTCCCTCCCAGGCTCCACCTTCTTCTGCCAGGATACAAACACACACACAGCACATGGCTGCTCCCGGCTCAGCACTCTGGCCCACAGACCTATCCAGCCACACGCTGATGGAGCCTGAGAGGGGGACCCCTGACTTTCAAAGCACATGCTGTGACCAGCAGCCACTGGCACATGGGAGCCAGCTTCACCCAAACTTCTACCCATTTCAGAGATGGGAAGACTGATCTAAAGATGGCTAAAGCTGGGCCAGGACCAACCAGACAGCTGACTTGACCCAGCTGGGCAGTAGGAGGGGCAGAAGGGGGCCAAGGGCACGGAGGCCTCAGGCAGTGCACTTGGGAGGTCCCTAAGAGCAGCCAGTAGCCCGCCCATGTCTGGGGGCTCCCCGTCTTCACCCATAGGTACTTTTCCTCATTGGAGGGACTAGAAGGAAGCAGGGCCAGCGCAACCCTGGCTTCAGCCCATCCCATTCCGTTAAAGCTTGTGTGTGTGTGGGGGGTGGGGGGGAATGGGGTTGAGTCCTGGCTCTGGCCCCAGGCAGTCCCCAGAGCCCAGTCCAGCCTAGATGGCTCTAGCTGAATCACAATAGACCCAGCTCACCTGAAGCCACAGCATCAGGTCACTGGTCCATAGGCCCCACAAAGAGCCAGAGCTCGAGATCACCCTTGGTCATAGCCACAAAGGCCTCAGGAGCTGGTCTGCTTCCATGGGAGCCCAGACCCTGAATCACTGTAATGGTATCAACTGCTGCTGTTTCCTGAGCAGCTACTCTAGTACTGAAGTGACTCCTTCCAACCAGCACCTGAGGGCTGGGTGAGAACTGATAACAGGAGAAGGAGGCTCAGTGAGGGCAAATGACTCCAGGCCCTTCTCGGATGAGCTGGAGCCCGTCTGATTCCTTCCGTGATGCTGCCTCAAGTCACAGGAGAGGAACTTAGACCCTCAGGAAGGCAGAAAGCACAGGGTGAGCTCTAGAGACAGAGGCCCCAAGTTCGAATCTGTGTTCCACTGCTCCCCAGTACTGTGACCCTGAGCAAGTCTTTGAGCCTCTGTTCTCATCCCTAAAACATTCCTAGCAAATCCACTTCCAAGAGGCCGTGAGGATTATGGGGGCCTCCTGACGCACAGTAGGGCCTCACTAAAGGGCTTTCCTTTCCTTGATAAAAGTATGTGAGAAGATGTCAAACTCTTTCCTGAAGGCCCCTCTACCAGACATGCAGACACAGGGCCACCATTCCCAGCCACGTCTCAGCCACCAAAGTGACACGTACCTCATGGCCACATTGCTCCCGTCGATGACCACGGGCCTCAGGTCACTGCCCTCCTTGTCCTCCTCCAGGGATGAGGGCTCCAGGGTGGGAGCCTTGGGGGTGCCCCCACCGCGGGGGACCAGGGGAAGCTGAGGACAGGGGTCCGGCGAGGCCTGGTGCTCCCGCTCGGCGACTGACCCATGCTTCACCAGCTCGCCCAGCACGGTGTTGGTGTCTGCGTGGACGCCCAGCTTCTGCAGGACGCTGTGGATCTCGGCGGAGGAGTAGCCCAGCTTCCGGAAGAAGTCCACCTTCATCTGCAGCTCGGCAGCAGAGGCCTCCTCCGCGTGGGGCTCCTGGGCTGGCCTGTCTTCAGGTTCCCACAGACTCATGGTGGGGGCTGGCTTCTGGGTGGGCCTCTCCCCGCCAGCCACTCACAGATCAGACCGGTGGAAGGCACCAGTCACAGCTCCTGGTAGGAAAACCACAGGGTTAGGGATGGGGAATGGCTCTCTTCCACCCCCCTCCGCCCCGCCCCGCCCCACCCAGCGGAAGGAGGCACGCTGGTGGCACTCTGCACACATCTGGTCATCCTCCCACAGCGCCCCGGCGAGGGGTCAGCATTCCCAAGGATGAAACTGAGCCACAGACACGAAGCACTTGCTCAAGGTCATCCGGATGGTAGGCTGGTGTCGCAAGTATTTGAACTTAGTCTGACTCCACCTCCTACCCCAAGCTCAGCCCCACCCCAACCCAAGGGACCCAGATGTCCTGGGAGGCCTTAGAAAACCTTGCCGCGTCCCCACAGCTGCGGGGCGGGGCGCTCCGATGGAAACCCAGCGTTGGAACTGAGCTGGGGGGTGGGGGTGGGGG